AAATCTCCACTACTCTGCTAGCTCTCTGATACTTTCAAGCAGTTGTTTGTTGGTTTTGCTTTTTAATGTTTTACTTGCCTGTCCTAGCTGTGCTCAGCAGGAGGAGGTTGGTCTATTACCTAGTGCCCCATTCCAGGAAGCCCACGCAAGTTTCTTACTCATGGATGATGACACTAGGACAGCAGTCTCTGCCCAGGAGGACCACCAGGCAGCCCCTGCTCTAGACCCTCTGCACCCGGTAAGCCTGGGCCCTGGCCACGCACAGCAGACAGGCCCGGACTGTGAAATGAGATGGTCCTGAAATCAAATCCTTGTTCGGCTCCTAGAGGTAAAGCTGAAGGCAAAGGATGTCACTTTGTGGAGTCTCAGTTTCCCAATATGGGAAAAGAAATAGAGAGAAATCTATCCACCAGAAAGGATTGGACAAGCCACATAGGGAGAGTATTCCTAGCCCTCTGGAGCTGACTCCAGGCTTTGCACACAGTAGGCGTCCATTAAGCAAGAGCGAACCACCACCACCAGACAAAGTAGAAAGTAACTACTGAAGCAAGGGAGGCTTTGGGAAGGAGGGCAGTGGTGGGACGTGGGAAGAGTATCCCAGGCGGAGGGACAAGCACGAACCACAGCTCAGAAAAGGGGACCTGAGGGCCTTGCAAAGGAGACGCAGGTGGTTTGGGTTTGGCTGGAGCACAACACGTGACGGGAAGTTGAGAGACATCAGGGTCAGCTCTCCAGCCAGACTGCGCAGCCCTGGACACCAGGCTCTGCCCTTCACAGGCACGGAGCTGTCCAAGGCTTCAGGCTGGGGCCTCACCTCGGTCACGCTGAACTTCCCAAAGGGCACGTGCACAGCGTGCGGATGAAGTGCATGGGAGGAGGAAGCAGGGGAAACGGCCAGGTGGCAAGAAAACGCATGACAAGGCTGGTGCAGGGCCCAGGTGACCGGCAGGGAAGGTCTGAGTGCAGACGGTGGTGGGCAGGGTGAGGCCAAGACTGCCTGGGGCACCTCCCCTCCCTGCAGGGCCCCTGCGGACTCACAGCCGTAGGGGTTGGTGCTTTTAAAGGTGATGTCGATGGGGAAGTTCCACACCAGTGCTCGCCGCACGTCTTGGCTCTTGCACGTGATCTGTGAGATGCCCTCTTCCAGACCCTGTAAGGACAATGACAGTGACAGCTAGCGTCCAAGTTCCAGGCTGCCACACCCCTCCCCTTACCTGGGCAGCAGCTGGCAGGGCTATTTTCTTCACTTTCTTCTGCCAAGACACTAACTTTCACATAAAGGGAACTAAGAGAGAATGGAGCAGCTCCTAGGTCTTCTACCGTTTCAGTTCATTAGAGCGTGACAACCTCCAGAGCCAGCCTGTGCCTGTGCACGAGGTCTCGTCCCCTCGCCTGACTGAAAGGAACGGCTCCAGCACATCGGTGCCCTCTCCTCCATCACCAGTCTTCCCCAGATCGCTCCATCGGCAGATGTGTGTATGCTATCTTCTCGATCACAAGACAAGACTCTCTCGACTACTTCTTCCTCCACCCATCAACCCACTCTCTGTTCCCGTTGACAGCAAATCTTCAAAGAGCTGTCGATGCTCCCCGGCTCCAACTCCTTCTCTGCTCTTCTTTCATGAACCCACTCCAACCTGACTACTGGCCCCCGCTCCACCAGAGAATTTTCGGCAAGTAACACCAGTGACCTCAGCATTGTCATATCTAGGTCACTTCTCTGTCCTCATTTTACGTGGCCCACCAGCAGCATCTGACCACTTCCTGTCACACTTCCTCCACTCGGTTTCCAGGACTCCTCAGGTCTTTGGGTCCTTCCTCCTCACGGCTGGCTCCCGCTCCATCACTCTTGCCAGTTCCTCCTTAGTCTGCTGTGTCCTGTGCTCGGTCTCTGGACACTCGTCTACCTGCACGTGGCATCTCAGTAGTCTCAGGGTTTTCGATGTGGTCTGTGTGCATGATTCCCAAGCATGTGTCTCCAGCCTGGTCCTCGCCTCCAGCCTGAACTCAAGATCAGCATGGCCCCATCCCTACTGCTGACCCTGCATCTTCATTCAGATTCTAGTGGGAACACACGCCAGGCTCGGCTCTGGAGAGTTCTCCCAAATCAGCTCTGTCCACAGTCTTCCCATTGAATGGCAACTCCGCTTCCAAGTGCTCAGGCTACAAAGCTTGGCGTTATTCTTACCTCCTCTTTCTCTCATATCCCACATCTGTCCAGCAGTAAAACCTGTTGGTTCCATCTTCAAAATACACTTGAAATGCAAGCACCTCTCACCACCCCCTCTGCTGCGCCCTGTCCACGCTGCCATCTGCTCTCACCTGCAGACTCTAAGTGGTGACGCTCTCCCTGCCTCGGCCACTGTTCCCCAGTCAACTCTGCATCCCCAGCACCCAGAGGATGAAAAAGGCTCAGAGAGTTTAAATAAGTCGAGCCTCCATTTCCTCAACTGCTGTGAGGATTAAACAAGTGCTCTCCAGACAGTAAAGTGTGGTGCAGGCCAAAGCTGCCATCAGAGGCCCTCTCCTGGGAGGGACAGACTGTTCCTGGGGAAGTCCTGGAAGGAGAGCTCCAGAGTCCTCCCCATGGGCTCAGGAGAGGCCAAACAATAAAAGGACTGGCCCAGAGTGTCTGCAGCTCAGCCACCTCCAGGCTGGCTCTCTGGGGCCTGCCTGCCTGCGCTGTCCACACACTCCTCTTTGCTGCCACGTGCAAGCTCCCAGGATAGGGTATGTGAGTGAGCACGGCCTTGGGAGAGGGGTCAGGGAGCCCACTGGCGGCTGCATTCTCTGCTCCAGCTTTACCAGGAATAAACTCACATCTACAACCCCCCAAACTACCTCTCAACTGGTTGTGAACTGTGAGGGAAGGGGTGTGATGGCCACCTTCAGAAACCCCAATAGTCACGCAGGCTGTGAGTTAGGGAGGCCCAACAGGCCAGCTTACCGCCGTGGGGGCCCAGTCCTGGCCATACACGAAACAGTACTTGCAGTAGAGATCATCGTACTCAGGAAACTGGAAAACAAGCACACACGGGTTCTGTTCACGGGGACTCATGCTGAGGCCAACATGGTGGTGAGCTGATAGGAATTCTGAACATGGCCCCTCGGGTGGGGTTGATGAGACAGCTGGGGATGTGGACACGGAGTGCAGCGGCGGGGCTGGGGCCCGAGATGTGGGAGTCCAAGGGAGAGTCCACGGCTGCTACTGCCCCTGGGCCTTTGCTCAGGCTCTGCCTTCTGTCTGACACGCCCTTCCCATGCCTCCATCTGACAAACTCTTGCTCGTCTTTCAAAACTTACCCTTCAGGGAGCCTGCCCCTGACTTCCAGGCTGTCTTAAGGGCCACCTCCTGGCTCCTTCAGGCCCTCGTACTTCCCTCCATCAAAGTATTGATTGCCTGCATTTATTTCCGTCAACCCCATTAGACTGAGAACAAGAAACAGGTGATACGTTTCTGGGTCCCCAGCGCCTGGCCCAGGGGTGGGCACAGAGATCTAATGGAAGGGTGCTGAGTGAAAGGTCTGAGAACCCAGTGTGCTATCAGGACACAGGATACGCACGGCTGGAGCTGAAAACCTAAAGACAGGGAGGGGCCTAGAGCATCGGGAGGAAAGGAGGGGTGAGGTGGGTGCTGAGAGAAGACACCAAGACGAAGCCCAGCTCAGGGCCCCTAATGGGACAGAACAGAAGAGGGGGAGCCGGTCTTGGGCACTAGGCCAAAGGGGAGGCGGACAGAGTGGGAGTATGGGGCAGCATCCCTGAGGAAACAGGAAGGCAGGAGACACCAGGCCCTGGCAGAGCTTTACCTAAACCATTTCAGTTCATTCTCAGAATAATATAATAATAATAACAACAACAATAATAATAATAAACACCATCTCCAACAGCCTGGAAGGGCAGTCGAGCAAAGCTTTGACGTCAGACAGACCAGGTTTCAAATCCCAGCTTTTTCCCATTTGTCAGTTGGGGATGCCAGTAACACCTACTTCACAGGGCTGTGAGGATTGCATGAGCAGTGCTGAGCATGGAGTTTGGCGTATATTTTACGTGCCATATGTCTTAAATATTTTACATATATATAATGGTTCTTATAAAGTGTAGGGTGATGGAGAGGAGTCCATCTGACAGACACACCCTCCCTGGATCATTCCAGGCCACCACCGTCCTTGGATCACATTAACCAAGTCATTCTAACCCAAATTCAAGGACCCGAAAGTTGAGTGCGGGGCACTCCCTGCGCCGGGGGCTCAAGCACTGAGGATCAGGCCCTGAGCGCCAGCCAAGCCTCGGCTCCTCCCGCTACACCCGCGTTGGGCTCCTGGCCGTGGCTCAACAAAGCAGACACGATCCGAGCCAGGAGCCACGGGCTTGGCTGAGTGTGGCCTCGGTACTAGCTGAGACTCTCGAGGTCTGTTCCACACCCGCACATCCGGGATAAGGATTCCCAGCCACCTCGCAAATGCTGGTCCCCTCCCCGGCCTAACCCAGGGAGAGAGGCTCGGGGGAATGACGCGTCTCTCGGGGGCCACGCAGCAGCCCGGAGGTGCAGGACGGGCCCCGGCGGGGTCCAGGCCGCTCACCTGGGCGCTCTCCACCTGTCCGTTGACCATGAGCAGGAAGACGCTGGGACCCGCGGCCGCCATGGCAGGCTCAGGACGGGGAGGAGACCCAGCTGCGCGCGCGTTGCTAAGAGGCGCCGGCTGCCCTGGAAACAGACGGCGCGCCGCGCGGGACACGTTTTCTGGACGCGGGGGGCCTCAGCGAAGGCGCGTGCGTGCGAGAGGGGGTGCGCAGGCGCAGTCGCGGCGGCCTGCGGGCGGGCGGAGCCCAGTGTTCCCACGCCTCTCGGGGACGCCGGGCCCTGTCCGCGCGAGGCCCGGGCTCGGCCGTGGGCCCATCGTGGAGAACGCGGCCCCGCCCGATCCGGTTACGCCCGCGGGAGTGCGTGCTCCCGGACTCCGCCCTGCTCCGCCCCGAAGCGCGGCGGCACCGACAGCCGTCCGCCGCGAGAGGCCGCTGTGGCGCCGGGGGGAGGGCGCGGCGGGGGCCCGCAGGCCGGGCTGGGAGCGCGGAGGCCTGGGCGCGCGGCTCTGCGGCGTCTGCGGGAGCAGCGCTGTGCGTCGGGTCAAGGGGATGCTCCCTTGTGGCCTTTGAGACCCTCGTCCCCGAGAAAGTGTAATGAACAAACTTGGGCGGGACCAAAGAATCCTGAAGTTCAAGCCGCCGCTCCTCAAAGTGAAGCGGGAAACTGAGGCTCAGGGAGGGGCAGCGCTGGTCTCCTAGTCACCCAGCCGTCGGGGGAAGAGTGACAGAGCCCACGGCTCTGTCAGGACACTTCAAATGACACTCCCTGGCCGCCGCAGTAGGTCACGGCTTCTATTAACACGTGGATCTGGTTCCTCTTAGCACTCGCCACGGTTCGTATTTGCGTATTTATTATTGCCATATCTAGCCTCCATGAGCACAGGGGCCGCGCTGATCTGGAGTCCTGGTTGCCTGGCGCATCGTAAGCAGTGGTAACGGCTTGTTGAGTGAGTGAATGATTGAATATACCTTCACTACACAAAAAGGGAAGCAGACTCAGAGAGGGGAGGTGACTGGGACTCAGTCACAGCAGCAGGTGAGTAACTGAGCCAGGATTCAAACCCAGGACTCCAGAGGCTCACTGCCTCCTCTTCCTGGTCTTGAGCAAGATCAGAGGGCACTTCTTAGCCAACGTGTAGAAGGTGGCGTTAGAGACCTTCTCTCTGATCCAGGAACGGAAGGGATACACAGGCATGTAGACTTCAGGGAGGCGGGTCCCCAAGCAGGGACTCCAGGTCATCACACCCTGCAGCAACCAGTTTCTGCCTTGGGAACAGACCAGGGGGGCCCCATCAGACACCTGTGCAGGAGAGAGAAGGCGGGGGGTCACAGCCAGCCTGGACACCACCGGAGGTGAGCAGAGATGCCTGATTAGGGGAGGGCACTGTGCAGCCAGGGTTCACACCACTGATGGGCGAGGCTGAGGCTGGGGAGGCCGAATGGGTGGGAGCCCAAGTGCGACATACGCAGTTCTGGCAGGGTTGTCCACCTCACCAGGGACTCGGTCATACCCCCTCCTCACCCCTCACAGGCTCTCTTTCCGGTTAAAACGCTTCCTCCCACAAATTCTACCACCTCGCCCAACTCTTTCCTCCTTGTGGCTTTTGAGGCTCAGTATTACACCAAAGTCAGTTTTCAACAAAATGCTTGCAATTATCAAATAACCAGGGGGCACCCAGTAGTTTAAAACCTGGCTGTGTCAAAGGCTGCCTCACATTCAAACAGGACCTAAAGGGGGAGTCTCCCCAGCAGCCTGGAAACTCTGGGGTGGCCATCAGGGCTGCAGCTAAGCCAGTTCTCTGGGTGTTGTGGGATGAGAGACCCCAGGGGGGTGGGAGGGTGACCAGGCCCAGCTCTCCCAGGTTTAGTGGCATTAGGAAGGACTGTGGGGGAGGGTGCATCTCGATGCCTGCCTGGGGCAGGGCTGAAATCCTTACCACCAGTTTGGAGTAGCTGTAGGGGAGCCTGGTGCACTGGGAGCCCTTGGGCAGGCTGACCTTCAGGTTGGGACAGTCAGGTTGGAGGCGAAAGGCATCTTTGCAGGAGCTGACGTCCAGCGGTTCCAGCGGGACACTGTGCAGCTCTTTCGGTGGGATGTAGGGATCTGCATGTGGGGCGGGGTGGGGGAGGGGGCATACCCTTAGGCGAGACCCACATACTGCAGATTTGCACCAGTCCTGCCCTGCTGGTTATTAACATACTGCAAGGCTTCGTCCCTGCCTCAAAGCCTCAAGTCTCCCCCCCAACCCCCGCACCCCCAACCCCCTCCTGGGGCTCCAGTCCTCCCTGACACTCCCCACCCCCAGCTCCTTCTTAGTGCAGCTCCATCCTCCGTTAGACTCTTGAAGTCCTCTCAAGGAAGCTTCAAGCCTACTGAGATCTGGGACACACTGCAGTCCTGGAGGGGGCGGGGAGAGTGCCCAGTGCCAGCCATTGAGCTGGTGGGGCTGGAAGCTGACTCAGGCACAGCAAGGTGTCAGTGCCCGCCCTCTGCCCTGCCCATGGTGCTCACCAGGCAGCTGGCCAGAGCTTGGTGGCTCTCTGGGGCTCAGGGACTCTGGGGATTACTTCCTCTGCAGGGTCCCAGCTCCACCCTGGCTGTCACGTCTGCCTTGCCCAGTCCAGCGTCCCCCGCTGCCCTCAGCCATCCCAGGGATCTGCTCCCATCCTCACCAAAATCAAGATCAAACCCCTGGGCCCAGCAGAGCTGCGGCCAGGGGGAAGGCTGGGGGCTAGTGGCCAGAGACACAGGCTGCACTGCACTGCTGAGAGATGGTGGCCTTTCCAGCCGGGCCAGGGCCAGGCCACCAGGCCCAGAGCCCTCGGGCCCTCCTGGGGACAGGAGCAGCTCCTCCACGCTGGACATGCTCTCGCAAGCATCCAGTGCCAGCCGATTTGCGCCCAGGGTCACGCTGAAGAGGGACGAAGGCCAGCTGTGGAGAGCTGAAGGTGGTGAGTCTGGGGGCCTCTCTCCCGGAGCCCCTCTCCACCCCTCGCCCTGGCCCCTGCATCTACCTGCCAAAGCAGCTGGCGCCTGTGAGCACCCACTCTGGGGAGATGAGGGCTCCCTCGCAGCGGTACCTGGTGTCCAGGAAGATGCTTGCCTGCCAAGGCCATGTGGCTGGGCCCTTCCTGCTGTAGGCCTCCGCTGGCATGGGCCCTGCACCGCCGGAGATTGAGTCTTCACAGCCCAGCTCTGGGGCCTGGGATCCTGCCGTTCATCTCTGTCCTATCTGACCCCCGTCTTTCCACCCAGGCCCCTACTGACCTGCAGCCCCAGCTCCCACTGCTCACCCTCCAGCTTGAAACCAAGCCACTGGCAGTGGAGTCCAGCATGGCCTGGAGAGAGCTCTTGAACCTCTCAGAGTGCCCGTTTCCTCATCATGCCCAGGAAGGCATTGTGAAGATTAGATATGATAGTATATGTCAGATACTCAGAATGGACTGAAGCTCCATATGTTTTTAGCTATTCTTACTAAAGGTAGCTCTTGGTATACTCATGCTTCTTTATGCCTCCAGGATTGCACATGCTTTCTCTCTACCTAGTGTATCATACCCTACCTTCTCCACCTAGAGAACTCCTATTCAGCCTTCAAAGCCCACCTTTGTGGAGTCTTCTTTGATCTCCTCTTCTCATTCCCCTATAATCCACCCCCTGGGAAGATTTCCTGCCCAGAAGCTCATTATATGTGGGTGTCCAGCTCCGCTTGCTTTTCTGTCAAGATAGGGAACTCACTTATTACTAAGGCGACTGGGCCTCCTTTAGCTGCCCTGCCCTGTAAATCTTGTTCTACCCTCTGGATCTTCAAAGGTCAGTCCCCATCCACATGGAGCTCCTCTCTGCAGACTAGACATCCCCGCTGCCTGTCCCCTGCGCCCAGGTTCCTGTTGCTCGAACCCAAGTCTGGGTTACCATCTTTAAGAGACCTGGACTCAACCCTCAAGGGATGGGCGCCCCGCTCTGCAACAGCTCCCTCCCTTCCCCTCTGCTCCTCACCGAACAGCAGCGGCAGCAGCAGCAGCAGCATTGGGAGAGGGGCCCTGGGTCTCACACCACTGGATCTGGCCGCTGCCTTGTCAGCCCAGGAAATTTAACCTCTCCATGCGCCCTCCCTACCGCCCCATAAGGCCCAAGTCACTGGGCAAAGGGGGACCGGCCTGGGGAAGAGGAAGCTGCCGAGGTAGGAGCCGGCGTCCTGCCCACAGACCCTGGCCCTCCTGCTCAGACAGGCAGGGGCTCTGGCCCTGCCCTGCCTCCCGTCTGAGAGGAGGGGCGGAGCGGCCAACTGCAACAGGAGTCCAGCCACCGTCCCTCGCTCCACCCCCACGAGGCTCTGCAGCCCCTACTGCAGGGCTCCTCCCAGCCCCTCCCCAGGAGCCCTGGGGCCAGGTCCTTTCCCAGGGCAGTCAAGGCTTAGAGAAGTGAGGAAGGGACTTGCCAAGGTCACAGGGCGTTGGAAGCAGTTGGAACCGGGGTCTCTGTGACTCCAGGTCTCCAGATGGCTTCTCTCACAGCCCTCATGGATCTTTCTTCCCGGCTCAGCCTCTCAGCAATCCCGGGGAGGCCACGCCAGGAACGCCTGACCATTCTCTGTGGACTGCGACACAGGCCAGGCCCATGGCTGAATTTTACAAGTGACACAAAGCCGAGGCCCTTTGTGGCCTGTTGGGTCCCTCTGGCCCCTCCTGCTGCTGGCCCACGTCCACCTGCTCCTCAGCCTCACAGTACTGGGTGCCTGCACACACACCACCTTCTTAAAAATTGTATGGATTTACTTTTTATTGAGGTAGAATTCACAGGACCGAAAACCAGCCCTTCTTACGAGTACAGTTCAGTGGCCTTCAGTGTATCACGTTGTCTTTGCACGTGCTGTGCCTTCACATTTGGGAGATCCCTTCCACCTTCTCTGCCTAAAAGCTTCTTTTTGAACTTCAAGATCCAGACAGATGTCCCTCCCCTCCAGGCTGCCTGTTTTCTGGCCCCCATGTTGGTCCAGGGGTTCTCTCTGGGCCCCTCGGTCACAGCCCTACCATGAAGAGGCTGTGGTCTGACTCGGTCTCCCCAAGCGCATCAGAGCTCCCTGAGCACCCATGGAAGGCGGGCGCATTGGAGTCACTCACTAAATGCTTGTCGAATGACTGCGTGAGTGACTGAAGAAGTGAGAGGAGGTCTTTGGGAGACACTTTGAGGGGCCCCGGAGCCTTGTGGGCCAGGCTGAGCCCTCAGGTTCCAGCTGGAGGGAGGCTCTAGACTCGGGGAAGGAGAGAAGAGTCAGGGACCCCGGCCTCCAGCAGTACAACAGAATAACCAGGTCTGGGTCTGAGGCACAGCTCGAGATAGGGTGCAGGGCCCTCCGTTCCCATCTCCAGCGTATCTCCAACCTGGTGTGTCACCCTGGGCAAGTCATCGCGTTGCTCTGGGCCTCAAGGTCTACCTTAGTAAGAGAAAGGCATTGCCTGGACTATCTCATTCTCCTGTTAAGTCATTTGTAGGGCTAGGGGAATCCCTGGCCTCTCCAAACCTGCCTCGGGGGCGGGGCCTGCTCTCTGTACCCCTGAAGCTCGAGGGAGGAAGTGCCTGGAGCGGCTTCTTCCAGGAGGTAACCAGCAGAGGGAGCGGTAGAGAAGTGAGTCAGGCAGCCCGGGTTCCAGCGCAGACTCTGCCCCTCGCTAGCTGTGTGACTGACCTCAGGCTGAGCGCTTAACTTGTTTGAGTCTCAGTTTCCAGGAAAATGGGGGTCATAAAACCTCTACCTAGCAGGGCTCGGTAAGTGGCAGCAACGGTCTCCACAGTGAAGATGATGACGTGATTGGAGTCCAGCTTGCTTGTAGACAGACAAGTTGAATTGCTGGCCAAATTCTGGAAAACACTGTAGGTCTTTAAAAGCTACTCATCATTAATCCAGTGGATACAAACTCAATGTCAGTGAAAGCCAGGCGGATGAGTGAGGCATGCCAGGAGATCACTCACTGGGCACGTGGCATGGCAGTTAGGCTGCATGTAACAGAAAACTTGGCAAGGCCTTAAATACATAGGGGTCATTTGTCTCAAACATCAAGACAGTCCAGAACTGACAGCGTGGCTCACTTATGCCAACAGGGACCCAGGGTCCTTCTGTCTTATTGTTCTACCTTCTTAGCATGTGGTTTTTGTCCTCATGACCACAAGATGGCTGAGTCAGTGCCAAGTATAGCACCATATTCTAGGCAGAGGAAGGGGGCAGAAGCCATGGGGGTTCCTGGCAAGACTTTATGTAGGACCAGACATCCTACACAAACCACTGATTGCATGGGGACTTTCCTACACACCCCGTTAGCCAAAAATGAGTCATGGGGACACTTCCAGCTGCAAAGGAGTCGGGGAACTTGGGCATTTTTGTTCCCAGGCTCCATACGATAGGACAGCAAGGGAAAAGGCAGTTAGAATGAGTGTTGAGTTAGCCACTTCTTCCCTTCCATGAAGAACCATGCTTCTGTCAATCTTAGCAAACATATCTCCACATCTAGCTTTTGTTTTCCTCCTCTGTTGAAAGATATAGCTACTAGAAGTACTTCTCTGCTTTAAGAAAACATGGCAGTTCAGGCATAGAAATAATCAAGGGAATAATGGGGCACGCTCAGCACCAGGCAGCTGTTGAGGATGGGGTGGTATTTAAAATCTGAATAACTCATATGGCATGGGCACCAACCAAGCTGATCAGATGTCCAATTGATCAAAACGTATGCCCAACCAGTTGGCATGGATGCCTGCCAACGGGCCTGACGGCTGCATGCCAGCAGAAGAGCAGCCCAGGTTAACACCCCAGCAGAAGAGCAGCCCTGGTTGTAGGCATTTGGGTCCACACGTGCCTGAACTTCTGCTGCTTAACGAACAGCTAGGAAATCTCCATGTTTCCTTGAGATCTCCTAATTTTGCCATGTTGGGTGAGTTTTTAGGTGACACTATGTAGGTCACAGAAAGACCACTTGCGGCTGTTGATAGGTAATCCCTCAACTTTGGGTCCTGCTGCGGCATAGGCGTGGCCTGACTAGCTTGTGGGAGGGGGTGGCCGTGCCGGTCGCTCTCCATGGTCCTGGACAGATGGTTCCTTCCTCTGAGACACCACTGCATCCCAGGATCTCAGGAATTACAGACCAGGGGAGAGACAGATGGGGAAGGGAAGGGACACAGCGGTCCAGGAGCGGCAGACGAGGCTTCCTGAGAATAGAGACTGCTGAGAACTAGGAGAATTCAGAGTGACATCATTTTTAATGGACTAAAGTCACCAAGGCTGGGAAAAGAGACAACAGAAGGAGGATTTTTAAAAAAGTGTCCCAGATAAGATAAAGCCATGTAACTGTCTCCACGCAGTAGTCACGGAGAATCTAAGTGGAGATTGCATCGTCAAAGTGACTTCCTCAGTTTTCTTTTCTACCTGATCAAAATTGGTGATTTTTAAAAATGCTGTTGCAGAATAAACAGAACCATGCGTTATGTTTTTACACCATATGTAGCTGATTGTAAGTACTTTTGGCAGTTCTAGATGTTTCTTTCTAATAGTTACAAAGTTTTTTCCCCTCTGAGAAATGGTGGGGTGGGTGGGTGGGTGGGGTTCCTGGTGGTACATTCTAGGGCCTGTAGATTGCAAGTGCTCTCCCTCTACTCAGCTATGTGGTCCCCACAATAGCCCAGGAGGTGGAAGTTAATGGCTACCTCACAGGGGACAGAACCACCAGGCTCAGAGATGGAGAGAGCCTCACCAAGGTTGCACAGCAAAGTGGGAGTGGAGCTGGACTAGAGCCTGTGTTTGTATCTGGCTGGCTCCTGCAGGAGGAGTGGCCTCAGTGGGAGATGGGGGTAGAAGGAACGAGCACTTGGATGGGACTCTTGCAGATGTCTTGAATCGGCCCACTGAAGCATAAAAAATGACCATCAAGGTCGTGAGAGCCACCTTCCTGAGCCTAGAATTACCACTCACTCAGGTATTTACTGAGCACCTGCTGTGTACCAGACACTCTGCCAGGTGCTCGGGGTGACGCTGAAGACAAGACAGACACAGCTCCTGCCCTCGTGGAGTTCACTTTCTGGTGGGGGACACAAACGAGTAAACAGATGTTCAGAATAATTTAAGACAATTGTAAGCGCTATGAAGAAAAAAATAAAGCAGCATAAATG